CCTTTGATCTTATTTCCTCCAGCTGGCATGATTAGTTGGGGGGAGAGACCTGAATTCACTCAGACTCCTGTGATCCCTGTAGGTGAGACGGTTGTTTTCTTGCATCACAGTGGAAAGTGTGTCATAATGCATAAGTGCCTGAGTAGAAGGGAGTGTTTCTCCAGACCCTCCCCCCTTACCAGTTGTCTCCTGGTGTGTTTCTTAACTTTGCATTGTTTTTGCTATCAGGCAGTGGCTATAAACGGTTATTAAATTAACATCTGTTGAACCTTTAGGGCACTTACGCACTCACACACACATGCCTGAATATTGTCTCTTAAGACTCACTCATGCGTACAGTCTCAAAAACATCTTTATACATTCTTTTTTCCCCTGTTTGTCCATTATGCATCCTTAAATCTATGCAGCACCAAGGAAGGGTGTCAATAAGAAACCCATTCTACATGGACAGGAAGTACACAAAAGCAATATTTTCTTCACGTCACTGAGACATTCAAACTCCTCTCATACTTCAACCTTTCAGAGCTATTCTGGGGTTGCCATGACAACTCTGGATGTCTGTGCCCACCATACATACCATGTCCCAAGAGTGCCAATGGAATAAAAGTCATGTCTAGGTGATTCTGCTAGCCATTCACTGTAGATACATTCCGTTCATGTTCTCCAGCCTTGATAATGGTAAGGTCAGGGATGGAGAACCCAAACTGGGTGAGAGCAGCTGTAACTCCACCCACCTCACCAAGCACCAAGTGACTTCAAAGGGTATGTGGTCACATCCTGATGTCATTTGGTCCCAGGTAGGTGCTTCAGGAAGATAATCCACCCTTTGCTTCCCTTGTTCCTTCTTCTACTGAGGAGATGTGGGGTAGGCAACAGTGTTGGGACTGAAATGGCATCTGGAGAAGGGCACCATCCACCATTTGAGATGCAATGGCTTTGCCTGGAAGAGGTGGAATCCAGAAGACCCTGAAGACCAGATGGGGATGTTCCCTAGGCCAGAGGCTGTCCACCTGACTTCACATGGAGCTTGCTCTTAAAGTGTTTGGCAACATCAGCTGCTATAAAATGCTATTTGAGCTTCCCTGGGACATATTATCCAAGATGCATGTTAATTTGATGTATTTCATTTATTTGATCAAATATTGGCCATCTGTTTCTTTCCAGCCTGAATCTGATGTGCTGATTTTAACTGTAATCCTAACTAGTTTGGGACCTGAATATCTAAGGAACTAAGTTCACATGTGCTTTCCAATGCCTACTATTCTGGGGGGGGGGGGGGTGACTGGATATGTCAGTTTCTGCTTTAAGCTCAGCTTGTTCCATCCTGTTTTGACACAAATATGTTATTTTTAGGGTTTTTAAAAATAAGAACTATATGGAAGTACACATATTTTCTGCATTTTGTGTGCATTATTACATGTATAGCTTCCCCACAAGAACTTAACATCACTGAAATGCTGTTATATGTGCAGTTTCCTCAATTATGTGGATATTCTGGACATTTTCCTCTCTTATGTGCACTTTTGCACATCCTTTTCCTGAGAAGAACTGCATTACAAGGCTTGCAAATTTCAGAATGAGAATGAAAAACTAAGTGGCATGAAGTAAGTCTCTCTCCCACCCCTGTTCTATTCAGTATTAGAGGCCTGATTTAGATGCCTCTACTGAACTGGTTTCTCTGTAAGAACCAGGCTAATTTCAGTAATGACACCAACGTAATGGAACATTTTCTTAGTCCAGGAAGGCCTCCCTGCACTGGACATGATGGGTTGGGTCCAGGATCTGCCCTCTGGAAGAGGAAAGGCCTTTGCACAACTGGAAGGGCTCTGCTTACAGAAAGTCCCTCTGGCCAGGTGTGTGAATCCTCCCTCTCCTTCCACACCACAATTCACTTCATTCTGATCATGGTATAAATAGCTATGTGGCATTTTCTGGGTGCAGAGCAGCTGCCATGGGAATGAGGGGGATGAGAAGTCCACTTCCATCACTGCAGCTGAACCTCAAACACTGTGTGGAAGCCTGAAGCTCAGCTGATTTGCAGACCTCGGAGGAGGCTATCTTTGGCCCCTAAGCATTGTCTGAGGGTCATATGATAGTGAGAAGACAGTGCTCAGACCATGCCCTCCCCCACTGCCTGCTTGTGTGGGAAGAACTGGGCCAGCTGGCTTCTGAGGTCAGAAAATCAGCCTCAGAAGGAGAAAAGGAGGCATTCTTATAGGTGGTGAGGAGAGAGATCTGGATATCAGCCTACCTGAGCCTCTTCCTTCTCTGCCCTTCTGAAGTGCCATCACGAGACATGGAAAATAAGCCAGTCTAGCAATAAACAAATAAAGAAGCACAGTGGTTGGAGGATGGGTAGGTGACGATCCCTTCCCTACTTCTCCCACCCTGCTGGGGACAGATTGGAGGGCCCTGGATACCTGGCGGCCAGGAGTTCACTGGTTCAGTTGCACCTGAATGAAATCGTGTCTGACCTAAGCTGATTTAGTTTCTGTTAATCAGTTTTCTGATTTTGTTTTTGGTGTTTTGTTTGTATTTATGCAATCATTTTAATTCCTGCTAGTTGCATATGTTCTATTGGTCATGGTATTTTCTTTTGAACTTTTTTTTTTTTTTTGCAATGTAAAGTTGTTCCAAGAATGCAGTTATACTGTTTTACTATGTAACATATATAGGGTTATAACATATAATCCACTTATAAGATTTTATAATAGAGTTATATAAGGTTATATGCTATATTAAAACACCATGACTACTTTATATTCATTTATATAGTTATATTAGAACTAATTATATAACAACATACCAAGATTACGTAATGCACTTTATAGAATAATACAGCATTTTTAGCTTCAATAGAGGGTTTACTTTGACAAGAATGACAGGATACAACTTTTTAATATGAATGTACAAACACACATTTCCTGTATTCACTCCATATAGGAATATGTGTGGATCGTATAATTTTTCAAAGCTGCAGCCCTTCCAGAGAGCCACAAGCTTAGTGGAATGAAAAAATGAAAACAGTGGTAGGCAACACTGCATTTTAAACAATTTCTAGACCATCCTTTAGTTCCAAAAACAGGTTCCCACTCACCATGCAAGCATTAAAATGTAGATACAATATAGTAAAAACCCAGTTAAAAACCAGTCCATAAAACAGAGAATTTAAAACAAAGCTAGACAACCAGCGAAAGACTGTGCATTCAGAATAATCTACAATCAACATTAAATGCTCCAGACTTTGTTATAAGGACCAGCTTGGCCTTGATTAAATTAGGGTTAATAGACATTTTCAGATGGACTAACCTGGCATTTAGAAGCTGTATCATAAGACCTAAGGGTGGGTTAATAGAGAAACCCACAAAGGTCCAAAAGCCTACTTTTAAATTATCTACCTACTTCCTAAAAGTTAATTCAGGGTTAGCACAAATGGATTTTCTGTGCTGTTCTTTCAGGTAAAAGACTAATAGGCTGTCAGAAGAATAAATGCTCATCTCCTATAATCAGTCGTCACATTTGAATAGACACTTACTTGGATATTTGAACTGTACTTGTTGAAGTTTGTTAGAAACCTGGATGTTCATATATATATATGCACATTTTATAGGTATGCATGTAAGCAGATATACCCAGATCTATGCAGCCACAATTTCTTTGTTTCCTGCCATTTCTTTTGTTGAAATTTTGCAATAAAAAAAGGGGGGGGTAAGGAACTAGCCATGGGGGACAATCCAACAGCCTCAACAAACTTCAAAGGGTGTCCAGCTTTCCTACATTACAGAGGACAGGCCTCTATTTAAAAACCTGTGAGGGGAATGTTTTCTGCTTGAAGTCCTTTGCAGTCCCATCCAGGTTAAAATTAAAGAAGGAAGAACTGGGCCTAGCAGTTGCCCATCCAGGACAAAGCATGAAGACACCTAGTAAATGCATTCCACACTATGGCAAACAGTCTGTATTTCTATTGCAATTATATGAATCGTGTCTAAACGTGCATCTATACAAATATATCAGCACATGCAATTTTTGTGCAAACCAGCACCCTCATTTTTGGAGATTCAGGTGCTGGACCACAGCTGGTGGCTATTCTGTTGACATTAGGTCACAAAACAGGGTCTTGCAGAGATGTTGGAGGTAGTCTTGGTTCTTCTGAATCCAAAGACCTCATGCATCCTCCAGAAAGTCTAAGACTGGGCTGGTTAACTACACCAAAATGGAGCTGGTTATACGCGGGGGAGGGTTGGAGGGGTATATTTTAAATGGCAGAGAAGTGAAGAGCTCTCCTTGCCTTGGCCCATGAGCCAGTGGGACTTGGGAGAAGAAGAGCACCCCTCACGTCACTCTTTTCTCTCCCCCACTGAACAGGAGGGTAATGGACAAGACTGGACCCAGAGATTTTGAAACTCTTGAGGCACGGCTCATATTTTAGCTACTGACTCAGGAGAAAAGTCTGCAGATCTTTTTGCACTGGGCTGATGGGCACCCCATGTAATTGCTAGACCATGGACACTGAGCAGGTCATTGTGCCCAATGTCCTTCTTAGCCCTACCCTACTCTGCTATTCTATGATCCTATGCTATTTTCTCTCTCTGAGGTTGGCTTTGATTAATGAAAGTCAAATGTCCCACACTAGAGCAATACGATGCGAGTGCAATCATCTTCCCCTTGCATCAAGGTTTTGAAAAGCACAATGTTTTAACGTTGCCTCCATTCTGTGTTCCGACATCTGCATCTCTGCGAACTATTTGATATCCAGGGAAGAGGAAAGAGACCGCTCTGTAATTCCAGGAAGCAATAAGCACCTACATGAAAATAACTCCATCCTTAATCCCCTGCCTATCCGTTTTTATCTGATGGCTTCAGCACAGGCTGGAAGATCACAGAGCAGCAGAAAACGAAGGCGCGTTAGCAAAATGCAGCTGGTCCCATGGATCAGACCATAGAAAGCAACCTCCTCCACTTTGTCTAGGATCCTGGTGCCCCTCTCATGTTGCGGAGCAATGTGGGTCCTCCTGGGCTTGGTTTGTTGCCTGATGCTTGGGAGGCTGCCGCTGTCTCTCTGTGCTTGCCCTTCCCAGTGTAGCTGCTCTTTCCACAGTATCAGTGAAGGGACAAAAGCGAGGTAAGTTTGCAACTGTTGAGTTTTTATTACTAACAATATTATGAATAGTCAGTCATTGTTTGGTGGAGGTTTCTTTTGAAGTACAGGGCTAGCATATTGTCTGAGAAGAAGCTCCAGGTAGGCATGGATCGATCGGCAGCTTTTATTGCAAGGGTTGTTTTCCCAATCAGTTCGTATGATGGCTTTATGTGCTGTAGGATTAGCTGCAGAGCACAGTATAATCTGATTTCAGAGATGGCATTTGATAATCTTCTATACCATGGCAGAGGCAATATAATTAACATTAGTACAAAGTCAAGGATGGGGACTAAAACTGAGCTTTTGAACAATAAATGTGAAGGAAAGGAGTTTTAAAAAGCTGTGTTGCTGGAGAGAGACAAAATATAATTCTGGATTTTTAGGTTTGAAAGGTTTAAAAATTATTTATACATGTCATTTCTTTGCTGGTCTTCAAGCTGAAGAGTTCTTTCTTTCTTGTTTTAAAACCTGCTGTGGAAGTTTTATTCCAAGCATTGGGAAATATTTCAATTCGGTACGTAAAGAGCAGCAATAAGTCTTCATTCCCCCACCCCCTGGGACATATATGTGGCATAGAGCAGAAAAGGCTTGTAGAAAATACATTGCTGAAAATATTGGCAAGCATCAAAGAAGGCTGAATGTGTTTTAGTGGGCAGCCAGGCAGAGTTGGAGAGGAGAGAGGTTCCTTGTCGCTTTGCATTTGTACGCTTCACACTCCTCCAATCCCTGAATCGTCTCCAAATTGCAAGAGAAAGTCTTAGTCTGAGAAACAATGGCTGGCCTGAGGTTGCCGTTGTGCAGAGGTAATATTTGATTAATGGGGAGCTTCCTTGCTCATTGCTCATGTCCATTGTCCCTGAACACACACACAAATACACACACATGCATGTGTGGTGTGCACAGCAGATTTCAAGTGGAATAATAAAAAGGGAGGAAATGAGAAATTTTCAGCGGTCACATGCAATGTGGCAAGTCCCTTAAAAATGACACTTACTCGCTGTAAAATGCAAGTGCCATGATCAACCAGGGCTGTTTTTCTGGCAAATAAACCAAGTGAGTTATATAAATGTTCTTTAGTTACTGTTCTAGAAACTAAGAGGGGGGAAGGGTAGTCCCCTGACAAACCTGTGGGCTCCATCTGCACCTTTGAGGGTGACCAGAATACAGCGTAATATAAGCAAGAGTTAAACCAATACAGTTATATGTATTCAAAGCAGAAGGTAATGTATCTTTGTTCCTAAAGACAATGGAACAAACTGCCCCGAGAATGGCTTTCTCCAGAAGCTTTAAAGGCAAGGAGAGATTCATATTTGATGGGGACATTTTATTTATAAATGATGTGGCCAAACTCCATGCTTGGAGTTGTATTCTAATCCACCTGGAGAGCACCAGCCTGGGATAGGCTGGCTTAAATGCTGCAAGAGTCAGCTCAGGATCCACTGCTCCTACACCAGATATCTGTTTTTCCATGGCAATGCACTTAAAAAGGGAAGTACCTGGCCACAGCTGACCTAACAGTTTGGCCGTTTTCTCCCCCTGGTTCAACCACACCCCTCTCTCCGCATGCCTACAGACGCAGAAGCTCACAAGCTTACTGAAAACCTTGTCCCCTGGAAATGTCTTCCTCTCCCCATGATCTGAAATGATGTTTCTCCTGCTGAAAGTCCAAGCTTCACCCTGTCACCTCTGGTCAAAGAATCTATATAGCAAAGTTGGGTAAACCTGCAAAGCCATCCCGAGTTGGAGAAGGCCATCGTGGTCTAGATCAGGGCTTCAGAACTTCAGTCTCTGGGGCAAATCTAGGTCCAATCTAGCCCTACAGGGCTGTCCAGATGGACACGCCTCCTTATTATTTTTTATTATTTGCATTTATATACCACCCTAATAGCCCTTCGGCTGTCTACTGCATTCTCCAGGCCACTGAACACTGGGGGGAGTTCCCAGATTCTGTGCAGGCTTTTCTAACCATTCTAAAAGGTGGAAATGTTTTTCAGGCTTAGATACTGGCTGCAAGAGCTTTAAGCTATAAGATGCTGGTATTTTTGTACACCCTTCTGTCTGCCACACCACCGGTCATTTGCATGCAGTCCCTCAGCACTTCTCCAAAACTAAATTTGCCCCTTGGCTTAAGAGCAGTTTGAGGCCCCTGACCTAGACAGACCCATGATTTAACTTGGCCATACTTTTCTTTGCATGCTCCACAGGTCGCAAAGGGGACAGAGTCCCTAGAATTTGCACATGTGAAGCCTTTGGTATTAACCCTACTCCCAGACATACCTGAAAAGGGAAGACTCAGTCAAAGCAGGACACACCCTGCACACAAGCACTGATGCGCTGACATCACTGCCACTTATCTAAATGTTATATAATAATCAAAGTTCTACGTAAGTGCAGTGAAAGCACAGGAAAGGAAATGGAAAAGGATATATATATATATATATATATATATATATATATGCGCGCACATGCATGCATGAATGAAACTGATTATTAAATGTTTTCAAAGTTTTGAAGTGTAATTTCAACCATCCTTTGGATCCGACAGAGCCGTTCTGTGCAATGATCCGGAGATGACACTCACACCTGTCAACTTCCCAGGGGACACATTTAAACTCCGGATAGAAAAGACAGCCATCCGAAGAGTTCCCGGGGAGTCTTTCCATTCCCTCCGCAACTTGGAATTCCTCTGGATGCCCTACAACTCTTTGGCAAGTCTCAGTGTGAATAACTTTAGGGGCCTCCGCCGACTGCAAGAGCTGAGACTGGATGGGAATGCTCTGACCACCTTCCCGTGGGAAGCCCTCCTGAGCATGCCCCAGCTGAGGCTGCTGGATCTGCACAATAATGAACTGGCCTCCATACCAGCAGGAGCGGCTCAGTACATCCGGAACGTCACCTACCTCGATGTCTCCAGCAATAAACTGGTGACGCTTCCTCAAGAACTTATTGCAGTCTGGTCCAACCTCCAAGCAGTTCCATACTTCCCCAGTGACCATTCTAAGATCATCTTAGGTAAGATGCTTGATTATGAAAACCAGAGAAACACAGTGTGGTGTAGTGGTTAAAAGCATGGGACTGGGACTCAGAGGATCTGGGTTCTAGTCCCCGCTCAGCCATGGAGCCAACTGGGTGCCTTTGGGCCAGTCACAGATTCTCAGCCCAACCTACCTCACAGGGTGGTTGTTGTGGGGATAAGATGGAGGAGGAGATGTAAGCTGCCTTGAGCCCTTTGTGGGAAAAAGGCAGGATATAAATAGCAATATATATAAATATAAATAAAAAACACAACTGCATGGGCCGGAGTCAGATTTCTACTGGGCTGAGGGTGGCGGACTTCCCTGCCTGCTCCTCCTCACAGCAGCCCATGCACCCCTCTGGAAATGCTACACAAGGTTCATGGGACACAGTTGAATGGGATAAGCTGTGTTTGGTGAAGGTGGTGGTGAAATCTCTCTAAATCAGGCAAAGGGACTTCAGGTGAGCAAAACTCTTCTGTCAATGGAAGATCATTCTTGGAGCCAAGCCTCCTTGATTTATGGCCTCAGGTCATTGGGTTGGATCCAGACTAAGTTGGCTGAAATTAATTGCCACTGAAGTAATGATTGGCTTGTCCACTGATTTCAGTGGGGCCTAAGTTCAGTAGATCTAGGCTATAGTCCCACATCCACCTACCTGAAAGTAGGCTCCATTGAACTTGGTGAGGTTTCTTTTTGAGTAGCCATGTATGGATTACAATGCTACTCTGGATCCAAGCTCAAAATTTCTGTTAATGGAGGGATCTTCTGGTTGAATGAAAACTGGATATGATTAGAGTGTGTAGAAGTAAGAATGTCATACCTGCAGAGATGGCTGCCTGCTGTATTTCTGCATGGGTCTCTGTTCTGAGTGTGCCTCCTCTGAGGTGAGGGTTTTCTGCTGTGCCTGTGCACTGCTGGAAGGGTTCAATTGCACCTGATGCATGAATGTGGAAGAATAATCCTCCGCAGCCAACTAGGATAGACGGAGTGGAAAGGGAACAGACCAGTTACTCAGAAAGAGAGGTCGTGGGAATCCTTTATGAATGACTCTTCCCTAGGCTGTTGAAACTTTTCTGCCATGATCCTCAAGGCAAGTGGAGGCAAGAGAACATACTGCATCATGGCTTTTGTGTTGGAGGGAGGTCCGTCACTGATGAGGGGGCAGCCAATGACGATTCCAAAAGCAATAGAAGTCTGTGGGAAGAGATGAGTGATTGCCATCTCCAGGAGCCTTGAAAGAAGGACAGAAATGCAGAAGGGAGTGGAAATGAGGAAAGGTTTCCCAAGGAGGCAAACATCACCCTGCATCTTGATGTAAAAAGGTCAAGATATGTGTATGTTTCCGACCTTGGTGCAAGGAGAGAAAACGTGCATGGCCATTTATTTATTCTTTTCAATGGAAGAGGGCTCAGCACCTTGGAGACAGATATGCTTTTGATGGGACCGGGGCAGAAAGCCTCCCGTAGCTCCCAAATGGAATGGCCAGGGTGGGGGCTACATGGGGAAAAGCAGCTGTGCAAATGTGTGCATGAAAATCCCTTAGCTGCCGCTTCTTTACCAAAACCTTTCCCTTCTGCTAATCTGCAGCAGCTCGACAGACGCTGTATGTGGGTCTGCTGCTAAACTCTAGTCCAGCCTTCCCCAAACTGCAAGTCCAATCATTCCTTGTCAGCATCTGGCTACGCTGGCGGGGAATACCAGGCACTGCTCAGGTCTCGTCTTCAGGAGCCTGCTGTGAAAATCCTCAAGTCTCACCCATGCAAGCATTCTCAGATTGTCAAAGTAATGCCTGGACACAATCCTCTTGTTGCCCTGATCAGAACTTTCCCATCTTTGAAATAATTCAGCATTATTTCTTTTTTTAATAAGTTTTATTGTTATTTTTCTACTAACTAACAAAACTAACAAAAAGAAACTAAAAAACTCATCAATCATCAAAAGCATCAGACCTACTGGGTCAGCCCCTCATATTTTTCTTTTTATGATAATCCATAAACATATTTAAATCTATGCATAGTCCCGTTTCTCTAGCCAATAATAAAAGGAATTCCAAGTTTGATAGAAGTCTGTATCTTCTTTCTCCTTCAGAGACAAAGTCAATCTGTCCATTTCGGCACTGTCCAAGATCTTTTTTAAAATCAGTTCGTCGGTAGGTGGTTCTTCACTCTTCCAATGTTGGGCAAATGCAATCCTTGCCGCAGTAGTTACATGTAGAATCAAATACATTGCTTGATTACCAACATCATCAGGTACAAAGCCTAATAAGAAAACTTCAGGTTTAAATATTAGAGGTTTTTGTAACATTCCCTCAAGCCTTTTGTGTATTTTAATCCAATATTTTTTTGCCTTATCACAGGTCCACCACATATGATAAAAGGTACTCGGTTTGTGTTTACATTTCCAACATCCATTTGACATATTTGGAAACATCTTAGCTAATCTATTTGGCAGTACATACAATCTATAAAACATTTTATACAGGTTTCTTTATATGAGGTTGCTAATGTTACTTTAATACTTCTTTCGCACAGCTTTTGCCATTTCTTTAACTCAATATTGTATCCAAAGTTTTGTGCCTATGTTATCATAGTTTCCTTAACTTGTTCATCTTCCATTCTCCTATCCAAAAGAAAATTATACAATCTTTTAATCATTTTCTCATCTGATTTTAAAATCACATGGTCAAATGTTGTTAACTCCTTATAAAAACCCCACATTTTATAGTCTATAACATATCTCAATTGCATTTGAACCGTATTAATTCAGCATTATTTCTGTTTGCTGTCACTGTCTTTCCTTCATAAGAGAGCAGCTGTTTCTCTCCCACACCCACCAGTTCTAATCTCTTTTACTAGTCTTTGCTTTCCCAAGAGACACCATAAGGTTTCTGAGAGCAGATCCTCTTAAGGCAGTTGTTCCCAGATGTTGACCCTCCAGTTGTTCTGGTCAGCAATCCCATCATGTCTGATGATTGCCCATGCTGTCTAGGGATGATGGGAGCTCAGTTCAAAACATCTGGAGGGAAAAGGTTTGGGGAAGGAGGTCTTAGGAACTGCCTGAACAACAATCTTCCACACATAGGCAAATAAGCCGGCAGGACTTTGTGGGAGCAGATGCAAGTTCTCATAGACTCCGGACATGGTCTGCATTCACGGCACTAGTATAGAACACTCCAAAAGCCATGAGGATCTGAGGATACTGGCACGCTGCAGAGTTTCTGGCACAAACAACCGTTTATAGATCAAGGACCAAACCTTTCATAAAAACATGGTTGTGTTTTTGTTGTAGATCGCACGCTGAAAATCAATCAACAATGTGTTGACTCATTTAGAATTTAGCAGACAGAAGATCTTCAGACAATTTGCTTATTTTGTAATTTAGATTGTAACATTCCAGCACTCTCATAGTGATGTGGAAGTGAACTCAGTGATAATGGGCCTGATAATGTAGGTCTATATATGTGTACTTTCATTCTGAGGGCCAGAGGGAGCCTACTAGAGAAAGGGTGAGTATCAGAAAAAAGGCCTCTCTGGTTACGAAGTGCTTCCCCAGGGAAATTAATTGGGTGGCACCTGTGCTGTTTTCTTTCCTTTGCAAGACTCAGATTTCTTGTCCTGCAGGGCCTGTGAAACATTAGCTGTTTTACCTCCTGTTACATGTTGGTCATCTTAAGGTATATTGTTCCATTTTTCATTGTGGTGTGTGTGGAGAACTTGTTTTATTAATACAAATAATAAACAAATAATAACATTTAGCTTCTGTCTCACTCTAAATTAAGGGAGTATCTAGCAAGGCTGGCCTGACCACAAGTCGGAGTGAGGCAGCTGCCTCAGGCAGCCAATGCTTATAAAGGTGGCATGCAACCTTCTCTGTGCCCATTAAGCTACCCTGGTTTGTTCTGGTGCAGCAGAAGTCAGAGTCCTGTCACCACTATTGAAATAAGATACAACTGGTGAATTCCAGTGCATCAGGGGGCTGGTATCCCTGAGATATAAAACCTTTCGAGGCTCAGAATGGCTGTGTCTGAAAGCATGCTTTTCTCAGCATGAGCCAACCTGAGCACCATGTTGGGCATCCAAGTCCTTGTTCCAAATTCCTCCTCTGAAGGAGAGCTAGTAGGTGGAAATGAGGGAGAGGGCCTAGGTGGTGGCAGCCAATTTTGGATGGCAGCCAAGCTCCACCTGTTACTGGCATTATTCTCTTTTCAGTGCCAGATTAAAACCTTCTTGCCAGCATATGCTCAAGTTTAATCACTTTTTAATCTTTTCTTGCTGCTGATTTCCTGACATTATTTTTAGACAGATGTGCATGCCTCCATGTGATACGTTTATATGGCCTTCAGTACAGTTTTTAAAATATATTTTTAAGATCTTATCTTAGTCTTTCTAAAACTCTGAGAGAGCTTTGGCTACTGAGCAGTGTAGCAGAGCCATAAATAAAATGAAACAAAGTACGGGGCAGGGGAGGTGTCATCTTGTCCTTCATCTCAGGCAGAAAAATATTTTGTGTGGTCTTTGCTCCAGTTGTGTCCTCCTTGCTTCCAAGGAAACCAGATGGAGTAAGTACATGGCAGCGTATGAAAGCAGCACTACATGGAGTCATTCAAGGCCGTTCACAGGACAACAAAGCTGCCAAAGACCAAACATTTTCCATTTACGGGGGTGTGCTTGGAGGACAAGAAGTTCAGGGAACTCGCAGGACCGCCTCTACCTGGCACCTGAAAGGTAGCAAAGTAGGTGATTCACTCTCCCCCAGGGCAGCCCAAGATGCTTTCTGTCTGTCTGCTCTCACCCAATCAAGAGGAACCTGCTGTTTTAAGAAAATTTTTAATTCTTGCTAATATTTGATCCATTGACTTTGATCATTCTTATACTTTGTTGTAAACCACCCAGACAGCTTTGGCTATGGGTGGTGTAGAAATGAAATAAAACGACAACAACAATAACACCCAAGGCAGAAAATCCAACAAGTGTTGAAGCCCCCTCTTGCCAGTAAAAAGCCTCATAATAAATGATCTAACTAAAAATTTTATGGCACCCTAAATTAGGCACCTGGGGGAACTTTTGCCTTCTCAGTAGCCCACCTCGTTGCTAAAAATGAGCTGTGGAGCACTGAAGGACTTCTTTTATGGACAGTCTTTGTATCCAGGGCAGAACATATGAGTTGAACACTTTCCACCAGGTGAAGACCTTTTCATTCTCCCAAGCTTTTCAGTCATTTTGGGTTTTAAAAAATGTATTAATGACTTACTGATCATGTGCTGCTGCTGGGTTTTACTTTGGTTTGGTTTATGCTGCTGTTTTTTTCTGTTCCCCTAAATAACTTTTCAAGCATTGGCATGTTTAAATCAAGTTTTATTTTGTCAACTGCCCAGACAGCTTCAGCTTAGTGGTATAGATATGCTGAACAAATAAACATCTAACATCAAATAAATGTGCATCTCTTAGCAAAGTCAAAGAGAGCTTTGGCTTTTAGGGCATGTACTTTTATGAGCATAGACAAACAAAAGGTGGAGAACAGTGTTTGTCTGGGACATGCTGCCCTGGCCCATGAGATGGTGAAAGTGCTTGGTAATTGTAGAAGTACTGTGCATTTCCAAGATTCGGGACAGAAAAGATTGAGCAATATTGATAAGAAGAGATTATACAGAGAAGGGACTTTGGAGCAGCTGGTCAATTCAAATATCAGGGACTGTGTAGAGAGAATCCGGATGTAGTGCAGGACCATCCAGACAGGGCAGACTCTGTCATTAGGTAGAGTGAGGCAAGCACCTCAGGCATCAGGAGTTGGGAGAGGACACCAAGGTGTTGGTGGAGAGTGCATGTATACACATGACCTGCTGTGCATCTCCTAAGTTAGTCTGATGGGTTCAGGTGAAGGAGAGAATGCTGTTCTACCATCGGCATGGAAGAAAGTTTTGCTTCTCCAGCTGGCATTTGTAGAGGAAATGGGAAGGAGCACCATTTTATTCTTTGCCTCTGGCACGCTTGCTTCCAGATAGTGTTGACTGCAACCCCCAGCAGCCCTAGCTAAGTGAGGGACATTGGCAGTTGAGTCCAGCAACATCTGGTCACAAAAGGTACAATGTGATGCAATGCATGTATAAATGATGCTCTTCGGGACCATGCTCTTACCTTGCTTGTGAGCAGGATGGATGCGGGTGTGAAAGAGAGTGAAAGCAGGATGGTGATAGGTCAGGTCTGTGCAAAGAAATACCTTGGTGAATTTCAGTGTCTCTTCGGCTGCTTGGCCTACTAATGGTCAACCATCTTTTGATTGCCTTTCTTCTCAGGTTTACAGGACAATCCTTGGGCATGTGATTGCAGCCTTTACGAAATGGTCCATTTCCTCAACTTCCAGTCCCCCAACATAGCATTCATTGAATCGAGACTCAAATGCTTCACTCCTCGGAGTCTGGCTGGTGTTTTCTTCAGTCAGGTTGAGCTGAGAAAGTGCCAGAGTCCTGTTGTGCACACGTCGGTGGCCAAAGTGAAGACCATCCTGGGAAGTACAGTGCTGTTGCGGTGTGGGACCACTGGAGTTCCTATTCCTGAGCTGAGCTGGAGGAGGGCCGATGGAAATCCACTCAATGGGACAGGTGGGCCGAGTCTTCCTTTATTATATTGTGAGCCTTGATTAAGCTTTTTGAAGATCAAGGCAACTGCATTTTCTTGTGAAGAAGGAAGCAAGCACTGCAGCACAGGCTTCCCCACCCTGGTGCCCTTCAGATTTTTCCAGCTTCAGCTCCCATCTACCCAGCCAGCAGGGTGAATGGTTAGGGAGACTGAGTGTTGTGGTTCAGAATACAGGTTGGTGAAGGTCATTCTCAAATGTAATCAAATGCATGTCAACTCAGAAGTAAGGCTTACTGAGTCCAATAGGATGTCTTCCCAGGTGCATATGCATAGGATTGTAATGAGAAGTTTCATATGGAGAAAGACAGGGGGATTCTCTCTCATTCCCTCTCCCTTTCCCAGAAATAAAGGCTGCCCAATGGAATGGACAGGATCCAGGTTTAATAAAAAGGAAGTACTGCCCATTCCAATCCTTTCACATGATCATCACAGCCCACCATGGCTTTACTGAATTCACGGTGGTTCCAGCATTCATGGGGACCAGCTGCCAATCTGAGCCCTCTGCTGTGGTTTCTTGCATAGTATGAGAGTGTTGGACTGGGACCCGAGTGTCCTGGGTTCTTGTCCCCACTCAGCCACAAAGCTGACTGGGTCACTTTGGGTCAGTCACAGACTCGCATCCTAACCTACTTCACAGGGTTGTTGTGAGGATTAGATTCAGAGGAGGAGGAAGATTAGATAAGTCACTTTTAGTTCTTTAAAGGAAAAAAGGCCAGATACATATATAATACATAAAATAAACACACCATCTCACAAAGTTATAACAGGCCATGGATTCTGGGCTGTTTGTTAACCACCCCAACAATCCACAATCATTGGGTTCGGACATGAGAAGCTGTGTCTAGTGAGGGTAGTTATGTAAATTAGGCCAACATGTGATCTATACAGGAAGAATTGTTAACAAGCCACGGTGGTTCATTAACCCCCTCCCCTTATGTCACATGAACTGGTTCAGTCCAAATTGACTAAGGGGCACTTGCCTAGCAATTACTTTAAAAGGGATTCTACAGGTACATAGAGAATAGGTCTCTCAGTGGGTCTTTGCCTTGTTGACTAAATGAGGTCTTTGGGTACAAGAGCAGTATACCTCTGTCTGCAAGATGCTGCAGAGAAACAATAGGGGTGGCTGTGAGAATGCTGAATTGGCTAGACCTTGATCTGATCCAGCCAGTCAGTTCTTTTTTTCTTAAGCGGACTGACACTAATTGTAAACCAGGGGAGAGCAACTTCTGGCTCTCCAGATGTTTTGGCCTACAACTTCCATAATCCCTCACCACTGTCCAGGCAGGATGGGATTCATAGGAGCTGTAGGCCAAAACATCTGGAGGACCACAAGTTGCTCAGCTGTGCTTTAACCATTACTTGGAGTAGCCCAGTCTGGTCACTGCTGAGGTTGATCTTTTTCCTTTGGGTGACAACTTCTACTCATGTGTTCAGGCTGGACCACATAGACGTTGGTTCAAACCAGAAAGCCCTTCTTCTGTTCTTAACTTGACTACATTTAAAATAGATATCACCATGATATCTATTGATAACCTCTGAGTTTAACCTCTTCCTTGATAACCTCTGAGTTTAACGGGAAAAAATGGCCATAGATATGCAAAGAAAACTATCACATAAACAAAAAGAAATTCCAGAGAACTTCTGCTGAATATCATCTTCTTTGTTTCTTTTTTCTTTCAGTGCATCAAGAAATTTCCAGTGATGGAATGAGCTGGTCTATTTTAGGCTTACCTGTTGTTTCTTACCTTGATTCTGGTGAATATATATGCAAAGCAAAAAACTTCCTTGGAGCAACAGAAGCTTTCATCTCCCTGATCATCACAGATTCTGAAAGCACCGATGACCCCACTGCCAATTCAAAAGGAATGTGGAATGGAAAAGTGAGTGGGATGGAAGCAGCAGCTTACAACGACAATTTGGTGGCAAGGTATGTTATCACAACCTCAACATCTCCTACCTTTGGCGCAAGATCCATTCGTGCCAACACCGAAGGGAATCTGGCACTTCGGGATGAGGCAGTAAATAAGATCAACAATCCGAGAAATCTCTTAGCCAGTCCACCCACTGCCCAGCAAGAACCTGAACGCCTAGTGAGGTCTGTTAGAGTCATCGGAGACACTGATCAAAGTGTCTCGTTAGCCTGGAAGGCGCCCCAGGCCAAGAACACGACTGTGTTTAGCATCCTTTATGCCATCTTTGGAGAAAGAGACATGCGTAGAATCAATGTGGAGCCAGGTAAGACCAAGATCACCATCAATGGGTTGATGCCAAAGACCAAATACATCGTCTGTGTTTGCGTCAAAGGGCTGATTCCCAGGAAAGAGCAATGCATCATCTTTTCCACCGACGAAGTTGCCAGTGCAGGTGGAACCCAAAAGCTGATCAATGTGGTAGTCATCAGTGTGGCTTGTGTTATCGCAGTTCCTCTGACCTTAGTTGTCTGTTGTGGGGCTCTTAAAAGGCGCTGCAAGAAATGTTTCACAAGGAAACCCAAGGAGATTCAGGACTCTTATGTCACCTTTGAAAGCCTCTCCCCAGGGGCCAAAGCCAAAGGAATGGAAGGGGAATACTTGACTAGACATACGCCTGATGAATCGAACAGGTTGCTCTCTGCACGGTCCAGTGTAGACTCTGAAGCAATCCCAAAGGCCGAAGGACAGCCAAATGAGTACTTTTGCTGATGCTGATCTCCAAGGAACACCTGCTGGACCAGAGTTCTTATGCCCCTTAATTTGGCGATCCGTGCATTGCCTGACCTTGAACACTCTCAGGTCAGGCCTACTGTCACTCAAAATATTTTGGCAAAAGAACTACATGTGGCTTTACTGGGACATGCTCTTGATCACCCTATTCCATGATGGAAAGACTATGGGACTTCCCCCTGCCACCCCCTACACAGTTCATAATTCAGTGATATGTCTTCAATGGGAGGATTTAATTTTCTATGGTTTCAGTGTAATGTGGGGATTCCCATGACATGGGAATGTGCGGATGTGGGGGAAAGAGATTAAAGGGTGGAAATTGTAGGTCATTAGGATCCAACAGACAATGATTGTGTTTTGGTTACCACAAGAGGGGCATACCTACAGTGGGTGGAGGTTGGGTAACTGGACATCCATACATGTGATTGTGTGTGTGTGAGAGAGAGGCTGATAGTGACTGGATACTTGCCTTAGGCTAGTACAGAGTGGTGGATCCTTAAAGAATATGGACCCACTGTATCTATGGCAGTGGATCCTAAAAAGCAAACAAACCATAATCTCTTGTCTGATGGCTCCTAATTGCTGTGTGGTTCCCTAAAATAGGATTTGAGATCAGGAGGATGGAAGGAAGCTGAGTAAATAATGGGAATATCATATATTGTTCTGCAAACACCCTAAGTCTATTGCCCCTTCCAGCAAAATGGAGTCTTTTCTGTGAATACTTGTACATACTGTACATGTAATGATCTTGAATGTATACTGTAGTTTCTTGTTGTGTATTCTTGGTTTTGGAGTCCATTAAATAATTTAAATCAAGGTGTGCTGATTTCCCACCTGAATGACACACAGAGAAATGGCTTCGGATGACTAATGCACTTAATACTAAAATATCACCAGAATTCACAAATTTGGCTGCTATTTCTAACTAAAGGCTACACAGAATCTTGTGACATCTTAAAAAAATTATTCTGTACTTTTTCTGCACTGTCTCAGAGTTGAAGAAAGGGCAAGCAGCCACCTCTGGTCTTGCTCCACCTCAGTCCATTCCATTGAAGAGTTGCAGTTATGGCTGGAGAAGCCATCCATTACGTTCTCCAACAACAAGTCACATTTGCCTAGCAAATCAGTTGTTGCCTGTCAAAGACTTTTCTTGAAATGATAGCAGTAATGGTGGACCAGAATACTGTGGTATTAGCCTGTTCCTTATTGTCCACACTGTCTCCCTCACCATCCCTAGGAGCAGGGTAGGGTAACTGCAGCAGTCTCAGAACCCTCTTGTACCTTGATCAATGGACTACTCTGATGTAAGAAATCTAATAGCCAAACCAAAGCAGTGACACAGGCTTATTCGAGTTGGGAATGAAATGAGTCAAAACTGAAATTTACGATTCTAAACAAGGCTGGCCTAATAATAAGGGGTCTGAAGTCTTTGGCTCCAGTGTGGCAATGTTTTGACCACCACTGTCCCAAATGTTTGACACACCGAGCCCTTAAATGGCTGGCTGGTGAACTGTCTTCAATATGGTGACAGGTAGATGTGTTGCCGTTTGTGTCTCACTGGTGAAATATCTCAGAGATGCTTCCGTCAACTGAAACTCTGTACCAAGGTTCATAATGTTATGTGGCTCTTTCAGGGTAAATGGAGCGAAGCTGGAGTAGCAGATTGTTCAGGACCATGTCGCATGAAGAGAAATTGTTCAGAATGGATTCAATTACAGCTCCACTTCCATTTAAGCAAGACCAACATGTGTAAATTGCTCACTCTACAACCGTCGTGTGCATGTGAGGGAAAGCTTTCTTTGTAGTCTCCTGGAGAGTGATTGTATATACAGAGGAACCTGTCACTGCTTAGTCAATATTTTGACTGTCTGCCAAATGTTGCGGAAGGCAGCTTTAGTGAAGAGAAAAGGAGAATGAAGGGGCTGAAAGAAAACCAGTGATAAATTGAACATCCTCTGCTTTTAAAGAATAGATTCTGCTGCAGGTATGGAGTGCCATAGGCAATGATAGACTGATTGCAGTTAAAGCAAGCTGAGTGCAAATGGCCAACCCTTTTCTGAATATAAAGCTGAGCAGCTCAAAATGCTATAGATGCTTCATGCATTCCAACGAGAATGGGCTGCAAATGACACGGGTCCCATGAGGTGTTCCCACTCAAAATGCAATGTTGGAAGAACACAGCTACCTTTCCTGCGCTGGAGTGCTCTGAGAGGTCAATCTGCAAGGAATGGGAATATTTCTTCCAGGGATGGGTTGATGCCCAAGCTCAGAAGGGTCCCTTTGGGCCATTGCTGGTGCATTCTGGGGCAAACTAAGCTTCCCTTCAAAGAACCAAGACTGGATGCGGATTCATTCTGAACTTGGGCTTTTAGAGGCACCACCATTCTTGCTCCTCCCTGGATAGTGTCTTGGTTTCATTTCTCCAAACGGGAAGTGTGGCAAGTTTGGTCAATTTACTGTCCTTACCCTCCTTTAAATCCTAGAATGCATTTTACCAGGGATTCCAATAACCATGTTTTTTGGGGAGGACTGTGTTGTAATAAATATTCTGATATTCTACTGCTTCACTCAGTTGTTTGTTCTGTCTGTAGCAAAGAAAGTACAGTGCAAGACGCTCCTTGTTTGTTTAGGTGTCGCCTGATGTTTTGGTTTGTTGATCGGTTTATTTAATTCTTCCTTTGCCATCATAGAAAGATCAATTTCTGAGGAACCCAATCTTTACCTTGTCTGCTGCTGTACTTCCTTAGTATGTGCTGTTATGCATAGAATTGGTCAGTGAATCAATCCTCCTCTTTTGCAGCACCTATTTCTGTGATATCTGACAAAAGAATTCCTTCTTAAGGGACTTTTGTGCCAAAAAATATTGTCCAGCTCTGACAATCAGAAAAAATATTGCAGCTGGATATTGATTTCCATCAACTGGAGGCACAAAGCTTTGGATTTCAAAATCTCAGCTGAGTTCGGCATCTGAGTCAAAGTGAGTGGGTTTTTTGGGGCAACCTATGATGCCAGCTAGCACTACAGATATTTCACTGAAGGTAACATATGCTAATGGAATAATGGATGCCCAAGCACAGTGTCCCTGTTGGATACCACCCTAGGATTGCAAGCCTGCATCTACTTACCTTGGCGTGCATGCCCTGGAACTCAATGGGATTTATTTTTTGTTAGATCGCTGTAAGTTTGCTGTGTCAATCATGGAAATTGGAACATTAAAATCAATGGACAGCAACATGGACCAATGAACTCATGGACTCTGTTATTCCAGAGCCTTAAATGTTCTTCATAATCAGTTCTGTTAACATAGCCTCATAACTATACATAATTCTGTACTACAGTGATTGATTGATTGATTGATTAAACAGACCACAATCAAAGACAAATGGACAGCAAGTAGGCATGGTAACCAGGTGACCTCAGGAATCTGTCCTGTTCTAAACTGAGCCCTGGATCTTTCCTTACATAATCCAAGGGCATATACAAAGGAAGAGCCAATTTAGCAGGGAAATAGTTAACCACAGTTGTACCAGGCCCAGGTTTCTAAGACCGTGCCTGCGGTACAGTCAAGGTCAAAAGCCAGGAGTTTAATCAGGTAAAAACACAATGCAACAACAGAGTCAGGCAGCCACCCGAATACACAGCAAGGTCACAAGAATACAAATACCAGATCTGAAAGCCCGAGGGTTCCTAGGCATCCTCTAGTGACAACGGAGAGCTGATAAAATTAGAGCTACCAAAGCCCAGCCCAAGGCTCCTTGGCATCACCTTACTGGCCTTGCTCCCAAGGAGCCCTTCAACAGTCAAGTAATTTTCTCAAAACAACCCCACTAGCAGCCTCTGGAGGGCTAGCTGATGCCTGGCATCCTTCTCTGCATGAGAAGCTGAGCTTTCTGCCCCTTTGGGGAGCATGTCTAAAGGTATCAACCATGAAAGACCACAATTATCTTGAGCAGGATCCGGAACCTCTGAGGCAACCTCTTCCCTGCGGACATCTGGCTCTGCAGGTTCATGATCTTTCTCCCAGGACTGGTTCTCCTGCAGAACCATGACAAGACCTGTGAAAGCTCCAGAGACTAAGTTGGGGTCTCTGGTGGGTGAAATCTGAGTTGTGGGCAAGAGGTTCTAGCCCACTTAGAGCTTGGTCAAAAAGGCTCCTACTCACACATGTTCCCATTTGAACGAAGATGAAGCTTGACTGAATTTCAGTGAGCAGCAGCAGCTGGTGCAGTCAAAGGGCATGAGCTTTCCCTTCTTTAGAATAAAAATGGTCTTAATAGGGTCTATGGGTTAAATAATGTGCATTTGAACAGCTGTACCCCACTGACACTGCTGGAATTTCCCCCCTCAGTTTTTAACTGCCAGGGGACTTTTGCAGTGTACGTAGGTAGCAATTAAGAGCACATTTCTGCCACCACCATCTCCCCATCTCTATTCCAAGTCCCAGATCTGGCACCTAGACACCACAAATCTACCATGATTTGGGGTACCAATAGAAGCCAAGCCATTTCTATCTCCAGACCAAGACAAGAGACCCAAGTGTGGTGTGGTAAATAGTGATGCAAGAAGAATGAGTTCAGTTCACAACTGAAAGCAGACTTATTTAAGGAACATTTCCAGGGGCAATATATGAGCTGAAATACAGTTATGCTTTGATAACTTCTCCTCCTTCTGCACACAAAAACACACATATTTGGGGAAAGGACATATAAAAATGTGTTTGCCCAAATTACAGATGTTAGGAAACATTGCATTACAAGTGCGTATGTTTGGGGAAATGTTCAGAAAGACACGTACATGTTTTCATAATGGGGGAAAGGGATGAAACAAATTCAGGGGTGGAAAAATGAGGAACTGAGTGGCAATGAAATGAACAGATGCAGACATCCCTAAGAGGGAAGTGAGGCAGTGGATGTGCACTTTTTTCTGTGCCACCTTTCAGCAATGCTTCCGGGAAAGTTTATAAAAACGAGATAACGTGC